GGGATGGGGAGGGAGAAAAGCACGAAAGAGGGGAAAGGGAAGGGAGCCTTCCCCTCTCTCCCCAATCCCCCTCCCTTTTTACCTTTTCTCTCTATCCCCTACCCCTTTCGACGCCTGAAAAAAAGGAGTAATTTAGCAGCTGAAGCACAGGTATGTGGAAATCCCGATGTGTGCGTGTCTCCTCTTCTTTCTGAGTGCACCAGTAAGCTGGAACTACGAGTTAAGCAGCATTATTAAGGGAAACTTTTGGCGATTGGAATCGATCCTGTTCTCACCGAGAGTAAGAATTTCGAACCAGACTTCTTGCCACCCATTGAATCCACTGATCTCCTATTTTATCTAGACAAGCTTCTACATGCAACAACAGTTTAAGGCTTTCTGAAGCATGGAAGCCTACAATCAAATGGTTTCGGGATTTATAACCAGGATGAAAGGTCACATAATCGCGAACAAGTTTGTCGTGTTAGCCAAAGTAAGACATTTTTCTTTTATCCCTATCTGGATCATAACAGAAAGAGAAGGGACAGTTTTGTCTGCTCATTACTTAGGTTGTAAGGCTGGGCTAGCGGAGTCATGCTCACATATTGCAACAGTTTTGTTTTACTTAGAAGGATGGACGAAGATACGTGGAGTTCGGAATTATTTAGATCTGCTGGAGGCTGATTCTACATTGCCTGTTAGTGCTGCAAAGAAAATTCCAGTGCCCACAGAGGTAGAGATGAAAACCCTTTCCGCGCAGCTTTAAAAGTGTAGTGACAGCAAACCCATTGCACTTAGCCTGATTCCTCAATTTGCAAAAAATTATGTCCTCAACAGTCGCACAATCCCTACAATCAATGATCTTTTCGACAGAAATCTCTCGATTTAACGTATCCGGAACTATTAAATATTTGTAATGATGTAAAGGTTGAACTCTCCAAGGAGCAAATTAAACATAGACGTGGCAGAAGTTGGGCCTCTTAGCAAAGCAGCATGCCAAACAAATACTGCCTTTCCTTTTTAATCCCTTATTCAATCGATTTGTTATCCTGAACTGAACAAGCTCAACACAGAAGCAGTCACTGATCTTTTCCTCTGGTACAGGCAGGAATGGCCTGTTGGGCTTGCTGAAACATCACGCTTTCGTGGATTGTGAAGCCACGATCTGCGAAAATCAGATCTTCAGGCCTAAGCTTTTTCAAAATTCCACAATTTTCAGTAAAAAATTTGTGACACATTCTCTCTCCCCACGCTTTTGAAACAGAGGAAATAGTTCCTTGAGTAGTGATTCTATTAACACTTTGATTACAGTATCACAGTATTGTGATGCTTGTTAGAAGAGAATGTCTGCGCCCTGGTAAGAAGATAAGACGGCCTGCAAATAAAAATTTCCAAACAGTCGATAATCACTGTTGTCTTTTTGTCAAGGGCAAACTGGAAGCACTGTGGCATTGTTAACCACAATTCTTCTCGGTCCGGCCACCTAATGACTAGGGACAGCCTGACATCAAAAGCAACCACCCATGCAGTAAATATTCTTGATACTGTCGGCAGTGACACATTGGATGATAAGATAAATCTCTGAAAGGCATGTCAAGTTTTAGCTTCATCAGTGTCATAATGAACCCTGAAATGTTGTCAAGGTTTGTGCTTTGCGAGTTACATGTGGGAAAACTTGGAGGAAACAGTGTTCAATATATGGAATGATGAACGGCTTGGAAACTAAAATTTCGAGGACGTTTTCTGACTTTTTATATTTAGGGCATGAATTTTTCGTCATTTCAGGCCATGGGGCCTAAAAATGAGCCTAGCTAGCTGTAAAAAGGGGCAATACGGAGGAAATACGTCCTAGTCGGCATGATCACATGCTGTTTACGGAAAATTGCCTCATTCATGTCAGGAAATTCTGTACTTTAAAGCCTCCCCTAGAGCATGACTCAGCAACTGAGGACATTCCTGCTACGTTTTCAATGTTGGTTAGCATGCAACGATTTTTCCCATGTTTATCGTCAATGATTTGCTCACTGGTAGAAAAGGGGGTGGCCCCAGAGTGGTTTTACATTGAAATTGGCATGCAACAGAATTTCGCATGCCCTGTAAGAATAATTTGAGGTTCCGTGACCTTCTCACCCACGCCGCGAGAAGCCTAGGTTACAGTAATAAGTAATTCATACCCAGCATGCCCAGCGTGCCAAAATCTCCGACATGCAGCGCGTGCCATAACCTGGGTCATGCTGGGCATGCCAAAATCGGTCTCTGGCATGCTCTAAACGCACAGGTTGGCTAAAAATAAACTAAACAGATCACTGCGCTTAACTTTTCATGACGTACGGTTTATAGGTCATTTACTGAGTACACGATGACGCCATTTCTATTCCTTTCATTTTTATATATTTGGTTGTCCCAGCGAAGTTTAAATAACAAAAGCTCTAATTTTCACAAGAAAGTAAAACTCTGAAGGATTCTGCCGCAGTAATAAAACAGCCTCATCGTGCAGATGACCTATTGGGGGATTGTAAAAAGTCCTCACCCCTTTTAATGAGTCTTTAATTGGATTCCCATTTCACATTGCGAATAAAATGGAATTGACTGAAATCAGTAAAAGTAAAGACAGAGGCTATTTTCATTGTATAATAAAATGCATCTATGTTCCATGAAAGCTTTTAAAAATACAAGGTTATAGAATATCTCTCAAAGTTCATTACAAACTGACCTAAGCTACCAAATCACTGTCCATTATTCAGCAAATTATGATGTTTGACAATGCAATGTGCTTGAATATAACGTTGCAATTACAAATCTCCCTAACACAATTTTCCCTACGTTAAAAAAGCTGTTTTTATCTTGTTACACATTTTGATAAGGAGTCTGAGTTCCTCTTTCTTGTTTTGTAGGCTTGCCAGGGATTATTGTTTATGTGTCATTACCAGTGTCTGTGTTCTTTGTTTTTAACTCAAAGTAAGTCAGGAATAACTGACAGACAATATCAAAGAATTGCTCTCTAGGCAAGTAATTATCTCCTCGTCATGTCTGGAAGGTACCTGTAACAAAAAAGAAATGGAATGTTAACACATGCAAGGGCAACATGAAAAAAAGAAATAGAACATGTAGACCTCAGCTTCTCTTAACATATTTTTATACTGGCTTGTTGAGTCTATTAAAGGTGGCAACTAATTGTCTGAGACTAATTTCACAAGAGTGTGCAATTGAGATAAATGCATAGTAAATAAAGTGAAAGCAACATGGTTTCACATTAGCCAATTTACATTGCGTCGTTGGTCGCTTTTCTACGGCAAAATTAACCTTTGCATTTGGGTTTGCAAGTCAAGATTATCCCGAGTTTGACTGACACTTGAACAACAGTTTCATTTTTAAGCAGGTAAGGTGTAGACCCATATAAAGCCAGAATATGTAAAGGAAACTCATCGATTTTTCGCATCTTTGTGGCAATATTCTCTCATGGCCCGTCAACTGACATGATCAGGGGTTGTGAAGAAAAAATACGTTAGGACCAAAGGTTAAAGCCTGTCCGGTTACATCATTTCACATGTTACCTAGAGTTCTAATAAATTGGTCATAAAATAGGATTTAACGAGGGCGAATTTGTTTCTCAATCGGTGTATAAAAAAAGTAAAGCTATCAAATAAGAAGTTTATAAAGCATCAAAATTGTTAAATTAAAAGCTTATATAATTAGGAAAATTCCTATACGAAAACAATGCTAGTGACATTAAATTGATCACATAAAATTCTCAGAAATAGAAGCCTCATTGTCTGCTTTTGTTTTTGCGAAAAGGTAAATTTTTCGGCCCACAAAGCAAAGTTGAAAAAGCGACTATATCTTAGTTTTTTACATTGAACATGTTTATGAGCTTAGTTTTCGTCCGTTTTAAAAGCTTTGTAACCCAATCATAATTTTTGGGTTAAAATAGTACAAAATCATTTCAAAAATTATGTTTACTTAAAGTAGAGCTGGCAAACGTGAACATTTTGTAATTCAAAAATCAGACCCAGCCGGGTTGTTTAGCTAGGAATTTTTTGCATTTTAGCGTCCTATACATTTATCGGAGTCGCCTCTCAGAAGCTTACTGTAGTAAAGCATTTTGTAGTACACTCGCAGACAAACAATGTAAGGCATAAGCCTTTGCTTGGATGAGACGTCCAAAAGAAAAATTAGTTTTGTGGACCCAAACGCACATTCACAGACTGCTTATACTGAGTTGTTTACAACTTTGCATTGACACTTGCGGCGTGTTCATTTTTTTAAAGCGAAATCCAATTCTGATTCTGGCATTTGATTTACGGATATTTTATTTTGTCTCTAAAAGTGATTGTAATATATGTTTGATTGTCTTTCAAACAACAGTCAGAGTATGCAGAAAAAATATCTAACCTTACCAGTACAAAAAATATGACCGTAGGTGCCAAAAATAATTATGCTCAAGCTATAAAATTAAATCTCACATTTTTAAGCTTTGGTTTCTACATTTTTTGAAGTTTTCTGTAGTCTTCTTAACCGCAGAAGAAGACTAGAAGACTTACAAACAGAAACAATCCGAAGTGAACGAGCTGACAACCACGTATGCCCGAGAGCTCTAGGCATGCTCAACAGCAAGATAAAATGAATGCCAAAAGGATAATTCACGGGATTTGTTCGATATTCAGGCTGTTTCTTTACCAAATTAATACTAAACTTGTACTTACAGTCTCTCGCAGAATCCATTTCTTGTCCAGCATTCGCCAACATCTCAACCATGCAGGCAACCATGCACCACAGAAAAAGAAGACAAACAAGTGCGAGGAGACATGACGACATCATGATGCCACAACTGCCACGGTACAACAAACTAGATTCATTCTCATCCGAAAACACTTCGGCGGAAATTTGGCCGATTTCGTGCGTGCTCGGGATATCTTCGGATGAAGCAGATGACGTTGCTGACTCAGCAAGGAGTAAAACAGTTTTCGAGATTCGCATAGCCGACAAGAAGCGCACTGAAAACCTAAGCAAAATATATCTGAGAAGGCAGTCCAAATTCACCAAATCAGAACGTCTTTGCAGTATTAAAGTCGTACTCTTGCACTGACTTGACCGACCTGGTAAGCTTAATTTTCACCAGTCTTTTAATGCTGTTGACCGAGAAACATTCCGACGCGATAGTACAACTTAAGCATGGATAAGTTTATACTGAGAAGATTTGTTATGTTATTGTTTAAAACGCTTTTTCGCGATCAAATTTAAATCTGGACGCAGAAATGTTATCGGTTTGATATAAAAGGATTAATTGATCTTTGATTGTAAGTGAAGTATTCTATTTTATCCATGAATAATGTTGTCTTGTTATGATTTTTATTTACCAGCTTGTTCAAAAACTTCTGTCTTCAATTTGCCAGTCGATCCCGTGACATGCATTAATCTGCATTTATTGCCAGGCGTGAAACCTGTAACTTCAAGCTCCCTAAGATATATTTGGGGATTATGTGATTCTGAGGATATGATGCTGGAGCGAACATCAAAATCAGTCACACTGGGCATGCCAATTTCATGCCTGGCATGCTGGACATGCCAAACCCAACTGGCTTCACCATCGGCATGCCCGGCATGCCAAACCAGACGAGCAAAAACTGGGAATGAATCATCATTCTGGCGAGAGATCTGGGACCTAAGTTTAGCTAGGTCACTTTTGGGCTGCGAGGGTATGAACCCATTTTTTCCATTACATTGAATTTATCCCGCAGTTTTGTGGCTTTTCCAGAGACGAAGTGTTTGTCACACGTGATCGTTCTCTGAAATGGCATCCGTGAGGTTGTCATCCCGGCTAATCGCTGAAATCCAGTGGGATCTCCTTTACTCTGATAATTCTCTGGCTTCTTTCCCTTGATTTTCAATAATTGAAGGTACTTTCGCTAAATATAATCCTTTATCCCATCCACTTTTATTTCTGCAGCCCACAATCAAGCACAGAACCATCTTTCTTAGAAGGATGCAGTTGATTTGTTTGCATATCTATACACAAATATGGCGGTGTAGCAACTGTTGTCAGGGATTTGGTCACGTGAGTGAACATGATCTTTATACATGCCAACCCCTCTCTCACTCTGTCGCTACAGTGATTTCTAACAAATTGATACCCTGGCAGGTTTGGTTCACTACAATCTGAGCTTCATATCCAAGTTTCGGTTAATGTTTTTTTTAATGATTTTATTGACGACAAATTAACAAAGTTAATACACAACGCATAGTAAAGAATAAATAAGAGATACACGGCCAACACACCTAGCGTTCTGTTGCATTTCACAATCTGCACTTGGAAGTCTTAGAACATCATGGCATTATCAAAAAGCCTTCTCACTCTCGGACACTTAGAATCCATATAAAGATGAATAAAGAAAAATTGCTTTTTTAAAGTAAAAGTATATGCTACCCTTAAAAGGGACACGGTAGTGTTTTCCATCAACAAAAATTCCATGTTTCTTTAATTCCTCTTTGGGCTTTTTCACATCTGCAAAAGTTTCTAGATATCCTCCCTTCTTGTAACAAAACACATTATAAGCCATCAGATACTTTAAAATCAAGCAAATTAAGGACAGAGCAACTGTCAAAAGAAAAAAGTTGAATTTAATTGGGAAAAAATGAGCTTTTAAAATAATGTTATGTTCCATACAGAAAGAATAATATGTCCACAAACAAGTTAGTGGAAAACCGACCTCTTTTCTCGGCAATTTACTATGGCAAGTGGGTATATTGACTTTTCACTTTGCGATGAACGATGGTCAGCATCTAATAGAGTTATGCCCATTCTCACTTGGTCTTTTCCTGTATGAAGCATATGTACCAAGAAAATAATTTGATTCCAGCCAAACATCAAAAGCAAGAAAAATGAATCCGAAGTAGGGTAATAATGAAGAATAGTGATATAGCAAACGAAATTTGTTTTTAAATTTGTTTTTAAATTCAAAACATTATAGGGTCTAGTTTTGAGGTATGGTAAGCTTGCACTTCAGCTACCATTCTTGTCCACCGTGTGGATAGCCTTGTGACTGTGCATAAATGCAATTTAACATGAACCTTTGCTACAACAGCTATTAAGAAAATGCACATACCACAGAAAGAAGGCCCATCAAGCCTCAGATTAAAGGTCGCCAAATCAGGGATGGGACCATGAGGGCACATTTCCCCGTTTGCCCAAGTGACGACCTTTTGAATGTCAACTTCAACGCCTGGGTTATGAGGAGAAAGTTTGTCCAAACCAACTAGGGATCTTGTAACATCGAAAATGTCCTTCCCGAGTGCCACCATGTTGTTCTTGATAGGTATAATTGACTTATTTCTCTTTTTTGGGAATTTGAAGACGTTTAACAACATTTCAAAATTTCAAAGAATTTGAAATTGAAAAGAGTTACTTTTAAAATTCATCTTAAGTAGGCTTAAATAATGGTGACAGAGTAAAAAAAATATTAATATTGTTTTCAGATTGCTTAGACAGAAATATACATTTCAAAAAGAACATAAGATCCCGAGTGGGCGTTTTGCTTACACCTATTTGGGTTTGTGTATATATTTATCTAGTCGCTATAGTATGGCGTACATTTGCGGACAAAAATAATTCTTTTATTTTATGTTAAACTTCAAGTTTTTAATCTGATAGGTGCAGCTTTAGAGCAGTATACTTAAACTTTAGCGTTACTTGCGTCAGCTTTACCCATCATTCGAACTTGAAGTTACTTTGAACAAGTTGAAACTTTTCAGGGAAAACTCGACATCGCGGATGTTGAAGTTCAAATCACCAATCCAACTAAAATGCAAATTACATGATTTGAACTTCAATTCACCTTCTCCACTCTAATAAGCCACTTAATCGTCAACAATGCAACTATAATCTTCCACAAAATTCCAAATGAAACCTTCAATTTGAACTTCGCGTCATGCCACATATTCGAATTCGAAAAACCAAAATTTCAATTCGAAAGGAAGCGGAAGTAAAAATACACAGTAACCGAGTAACGACTAGGTACGAGTCTACAGATGGGAGGCTTGGAACCTGAGCTTTCCTCTTAAGCTTTCCTCATCTCTGATCATCGTCATGGCTGCTCGATGGCTACCGAACAACGAAGAGTTTTTCGATGGACTGGTTAGACTGTTAGAAGCATCAGAAAGTAATCTAAACTCAGCATCATATGATAATTCTGAATTTTTATTTTGTCGACTTGATGCTCATGAGAGAACTTTGTCAACTCTGCTTAGTAGAATTGAATATACTTATCAAGGAATCGCCGAAGCACTGAATGTTATTCGTGACTTATAAACCTTATTGAATCGAACATCAAACTTTAGAAGCCATTTCCAAAGACGATTTTTCCTTAGTGTTGAAAGAGAAGGGAATGAATTGACGCCATTAACTACTAACCTACAAAGAGATCAATATGGAGGTCGTGGAAGACCAAAACATCATGTATCTCGTGATCAGCTCCAGGCAGGTAATGTAGATGCGGGTTTAGTTGAAGCGAAATTGCTAGAACTTTGGGAATTTCGGAAAGGACATTGCGTAGAAGGCGCCATGAACTTGGTATGTCTGTAGAAGGAAGGGTGTTCTCCAATCTTTCTGACAATGAATTAGATGATTATGTTCGTCAAATACTAACGGTGACACCTGGTGCAGGCCTGAGGATGGTCCAAGGAGCATTAAAGCAACGCAGTCTAGAAGTACAGAGGGATCGTGTTCTCCAGTCACTACGCAGGGTTGACCCTGTGACAACTTCATTGCGAAATGGTAGACAGATTATTAGAAGAACGTACAATGTTCCAGGCCCCAATGCACTATGGTAAGTAAGCTTTAGATGTATGGATAAGCACTTTTAATTCCACATCAACACCTGTCCATTTGAAGAAACTGTTGGTAGGTCCTCTGTTATATATATTAATAGAGTGGGGTGGGGTTGAAATCAACTATCTGGTACCTTTTAGGGTGGGTTAATTGGTACTTCGTTCCTTCATTAGTGATTAAGAACAGGTGAAAAAGGTCTGGATTGAGAAGACTTCCTGCCTCACACTCTTGAAAATATGTGAAATTTTACATTATGGACTGATCAGTAAGCCATTTGCACGATGGCGTCATTTTACTACTATGACCAGAATGCGTTTCATTTTTCCTTTCATATTTAAATTTTGTAATCCCAGTGATGTTTACAAAACAAAAGCCTTTATTTGCACAAGAAAGCAAAACCCTGAAGGATTCTGGTCGTAGTAGTAAAATGATGTGATAGTGCAAATGGCCTATTCTTACATCACAGAGGGAGGCTGTGTTTTTAGAGGGGGTACATTTTCCAAACATTAGATGACTTGAGGGATATTATTATTGGGGGACATTTTGCGATCCTGAGAATTTGGAAAAAAAATACCCCCCATTTCTGATCGGAGTCCAACCTGGTAGGTCCATCCCCCTTGAGCAAAATATTATCTAGTATGGCCCGTCTACTGATATGTATTTTCATATGTTCATTTTTTATTTCAAGCCTATAAATTAACTGATATTGTATAGAAATCGGTTTAGACTATGAGCTATAGAGCATCACAAATTTGCTCTTCTTCATTAATATTTAAAACAGTTTCTGGGAGCATCCTTAAGAGGGAGATAAATTATTCCCTCTTGCGTTCATTATTTCATTGCAGGCACATAGACAGAAATCACAAATTGATAGAACCGTACCGAATAGTTATACATGGTGGCATAGATGGCTTCTCCAGATTGGCCGTTTATCTAAATGCATCAACAAACAACAGAGCCACAACTGTTTTTGGCTGCTTCCAGGAAGCTATTCAACAGTATAACCTTCCTTCTAGGGTACGTTGTGATCTTGGATTTGAAAACCTGGAAGTTGGCAGATACATGCTGGAACAACGAGGGCTTAACAGAGGTAGTATAATTACTGGTACATCAGTCCATAACCAAAGAATAGAGAGACTATGGAGGGATGTCAACCGCATTATAGTTTCACGTTTTCTCAACATATTTTTATTTTTGGAAGGCGAAGGAGTTTTAGATCCACACAATGAGGTGCATCTATTTGCCCTCCACATAGTTTATATTGATCTTATCGATGCTGCACTTAGAGAATTTGTTGGGCAGTGGAACAATCACCCAGTCACTACTGAAAGTAATCTTTCTCCACAACAGTTATGGATAAGAGGTATGGTATTACTGCAAAACTCTGGTTACAGTGCTGTGGAATCTGTCGTGCAAGATATCTCAAATTATGGCATTGATGTGGATGGCCCAGTCCCTGAAGATGATTCAAGATTGGTAAATGTACCAGTTACATCCATAAATGTGGATGATGTGCAGCTTGCCAACATCAAAAATGTTGTGAAGTTATCTCTTGAAAATGGAGATGAAAATGGATTTCATTCGTTTGTTCTGACTTTGGACCTTTTGTCTGCTGCAGTTTATTGAAAATTATGAAGACTGATCAAGCAGCAGACAAAAGGTCCAAATGTCTGTTGCTGATAGACCACTTTCTGGTGATTTTATTAACACTCTTCTATTTCTGCGGTATTCTCTACCTTCATCAGTTCGAATCCTATAGGATCTTGGTGTTTCTGCGTGTTCTGTTACAACGCCTGGTTTCCAATGGCTCCCCATTTGTACTCTGATCCGGTCACCTTTCTCTAATGTGGGAAGATGTTTGGCATGCTGATCAAAGTAGTGCTTTTGTTTTTCCTGTTTGAGCCTCAGTTTCTCCATAACTTTGTGTGGATCAAGGACTTTAGGCTGCAACTGTGCGTTGGTAGTGGGAATGATTGATCTTAATCGCCGGCTCATAAGCAGTTGCGCTGGTGAACCAATATCATCTATTGGTGTGTTCCTGTACTCAAGTAGTCCCAAATAAGGATCCCTGCGATCTTGTTTTGCTTTGGTCAGTAGATTTTTCACTGTTTGTACTTCTTTCTCAACAAGACCATTTGCTTGGGGGTACAGTGGACTGACAGTAGTGTGTTTGAATTCCCACTGTTTAGCAAACAGTGAAAAGTCCTTTGAGGAGTACTGGGGACCATTGTCACTGATTACTTCGGATGGTATTCCATGTCTGGCAAATACAGATTTAGTGTAGGTGATGACTGTGGTGCTTTTGGTGTCCGTTAGTTTGGCTATTTCAAAATATCTGGAGTGATAGTCAACAACTATCAGGTATTCAGATTTGTCCCAGGTGAACAAGCCTGTGGCGACCATTTCCCAGGGCTTGCGCGGTAAGCGAGAAGGGATCATTGGCTCTTTCTTGTTTTGCCGTTGATGCTCTAAGCAGGTGGTGCACCTCGATATCATGTCGCTGATTTGAGAATTCATTCCTGGCCAGTATAGGACATCTCTTGCTCGTCGTTTGGACTTTTCGATCCCCATGTGGCCTTGATGTATCCTTTGTAGCATTTCTTTTCTCATAGATGACGGGACTAGTATTCTGTCATTTTTGAGAATAACACCCTCGACTTCAGAGAGCTCATCTCTTACATTCCAGTAGACTTGAATACTTGCTGGTGTGGAAGATTTTGTTTCTGGCCATCCTGACTTGATCGCATCCTTCATTTCTTTCAATGATGGGTCATTAGCTGTGGCTTCTTTAATTTCTTCTAGTTTGGGCTTCGAGACTGGTAGGTTAGAAGTTTGCAAATGGACATGTAGTGCAATTTCTTCTTCCATGCTGCCATATGCTGTTTCAGGCAGTGGTGCTCTAGAGAGCATATCCGGAAGCACTAACTCCTTTCCTTTCCTTTTCTAAGAAGGATTCTTTGTAGTCTTGGTGGTGCTGATGCTAGTGCCTTTTTAACAATGGCCTCAAGTGGCTTGTGATCTGACTCAATGGTAACTTGCTTTCCATAGATGTATTGGTGGAAACGTTCTAAGCTGAACTGAACAGCTAAGAGTTCCTTCTCAATTTGAGCGTATCTTGATTCTGCGTTAGTGAGGGATCTTGAAGCATAGGCAACAGGACGCTCTTCTTGTAGCAGCACCCCTCCTAGGCCGGTTGGGAAGGTATCACAGCTGATCGTAACAGGCTTTTGTACATCAAAGAATTTCAGGACTGGCCCTCCATCTTTAGTTAGGATGCTTTTAATTTCATGAAGTACTTTTTTTGTTCACGTGCCCACTGAAACTCAATGTCCTTTCGTAGTAGAACTCTGATAGGTTCAGTGACAGTTGCCAGATTTGGGATGAACTTGCCCAAGTAATTGACTGTTCCAAGGAGTCTTTCTACTCCTTTCTTGTCAGTTGGTGCAGGCATGTCATTGATGGCACGCACCTTTTCATCATCAGGTTTGATTCCTTCTTGTGTGAGTTTGTGACCAATGTAGGTGACTTCTTTGACTTTAACGACGCACTTTTCTTTGTTCAGTGTTAGGTTTATCTTCTCACATCGTTCCAGGACAGCGTGTACACGATGGTCGTGTTTAACTTCTGTTTCTGCATGCACTATTATGTCATCGATGTCAGTTTCAACTCCTTCCAAGTCGCCAAAATGTTGACTCATCCGCTTTTGGAAAACTTCCTGAGCAGATGTGATTCCGAATGGAGTGACCTGATAGCAGTACCGCCCGAAAGGTGTGCTGAAGGTGGTTAGAAGTTGACTTTCTTCTTCAAGAGGTATCTGCCAGTATCCTCCGTTTGCATCAAGCTTAGTGAACCATTTTGTATTTTCCATGCGTGTAGTGATGTCTTCGATGGTGGGAAGCTGAAAGTGTTCCCGCTTTATTGCTTTCTTTTGAGGTACCTTGGATCTAAACAAATCCGCAGACTACCATTAGGCTTTTCAACAATGGCCATAGAATTGACCCAATCTGTGGGTTCTTCTACCTTGCGAACAACTCCTGTCCTTTCCATGTCATCCAGTTCTTCTTTCACTCTGTCGCGAAGAGCTGCTGGGATCGTTCTAGGTGGGTTTACGACAGGTGTCACAGTAGGGTCTACTTCAATGTGGTAAGGTTTCTCCAAGCGTCCCAACCCAGTGAATACCTGCGTGTATTTCTGCAGTACTTCTTCTTTCAATTCTTCAGACAACTTCGTAACCTCTTCACTTTTGTCTGGTTCAGTTTGCTTTTCTTCTGTCTTGGCCACCATAACTACTTTGATTAGACCCAGATCTTGGGATGCTGTGAGCCCCAATAATCCTGGTTGATTTGTCTCCACTATGTGAAATGTCAGCTCATGTTCTACATCTGTTTTAGATTTCACTGGTAGTGTAGCTGTGCCAAGTACAGTTAGCTTATCTTCAGAGTCACTGACTAGATTATGTGTGTAGGCATTTATCTGTGGATTGCTCCCACCTATCTTCTTTAGGTCTTTAAACGGCATGATGTTAACTTGAGAGCCCGTGTCAATTTTGAGTTTTGTGATATGTCCTTTCACTGGCAACATCACATAGCACTCCTCATTCTGGATCTGAACTTCAGTAGTGACAGCTCCTACAAATAGGGTTGAGTCAGGAACATTTCCTTCTTGTTGCTCTACACACAGTTCATGGACTTTTTTCCGTGATCTGCATACACTCTGGAAGTGATTTCGTCTCTGACAATAGTTACATGTTTTGCCATATGCAGGACACTCCCTTGCGCCATGTCTTGTTCCACAGTTCCCGCAATTGAACTTCTTGCTTGGGGGTCTTTTTTCCTCATTATCTGAAGGTGTTTTCTTGTCAGTTGACTTGTTCTTCTCCCTTCCAATTCCATGCACTGATGAGTCGTCCAGTTCTTTCATTTGCATATCCGTAGCTTCTGCAGATCGTACCACATCTAATACTTTCTAAAGTGTAAGGTCTGGCACCCTGAGTAATCTTTCTCTTGTTTTTGTGTTGTTTACACCAAGTACAATTCGGTCCTTGATGAGAGAGTTCTTCAATGTTCCAAATTCACATGTTTCACAAAGCTTTCTTAATATTGTTACGTACTGGTCGATGCTTTCGCCTCTTTCTTGGGCTCTTGAGAAGAATTTGTATCTCTCGTAGCTCACATTTTTCTTGGTTTCACAGTGTTCCTCAAATTTCAACAGCACCTTTTCGATTTTTTTGTCATCGCCTTCTTCGTCCCAAGTTAGAGTGTTAAAAACATCAATAGCATCGTTGCCGATAACTGTTAGAAGTGTTGCTACTCTGGTCGCACTATCCTTCGAACTTATTCCGGTCGCAATTTCGTAATTTGTATATTTCTGTTTGAACTTCTTCCAATTGGCTGATATGTTTCCTCCACTCAAGTCGAGAGCTTCTGGAGGTGGAAGACCTAAATGCATCGCCATTTCAGGTGTATTTTCTTCGTCTTCAACTGGTTGCTGTATTTCTTCTGTGTTTTCTTCGTCTTCAACTTGTAAATGCTGTACTTCTTCAGTGTTTTCTTCCCCCGCGGGCGTGATAGGAATCGACTGATCCTGTGACATAAATTACGATCGCCGATGTTGATTGCTCTGAAATACGGCCTGTATTTTATTCAAATCTTCGCCATATCGATGGCTGAGGTTCTTGTTCGTACTTGACTTCTGACACCATGTAATGTTCTTTATCTAATAGCACGATGGATCTGGATAAAACAGCTTAGCAAACAGGATCCAAGTTTTTTATTCCAACATGGCTGACCCAGGTGGTGCATGCGCACGCTTACACTCATACAAAATACCGCTGATCATTACACTGGTAGGATAAGTTTTGTGCAAATTTAAACTCCTTATACTTGGTACAAGTGTTCACAAGTTCTTAATAATATAGAGCTTTCAACTCTAATTGAGAGTCTTGATCACTATGATGAGATAACATGTGATTTGGTGTTAAATATTTCAAATGTGGTGTAAATTAATAGTAACGTGGTGTAAATTAAGAAAAGAGGATATGAAGCTTTACTTACAGATGCTATACAAGTCTTGCCACTTTCTTGAAGCAGTGAGAGAAATTGTTCTGCATTGTTGATTTCTTCAAATTCTTCATTTGTTGAGGCTGACAGCAACTGGTGGGATAATTCGAAAAACTTAGGTTGACTTAGTGGGTTTATTGTAAATTAAAGGCATTGAGTTTTTAGAAATGTGTTTTTTAAGAAATAAAGTATTATTAATAATAATAATAATAATAATAAGAAGAAGAAGTTCACTTAATTTTGAGAGGAAAACAAATGTCATATATTGACATTGATATCTCACAGAAATAAAAAATGTCATTTGGGGCAGCCATTCACTGAAACAGACTTTTGGCATAAAAGACAACTTTGATAGAAAGGTTACACTGAAGAAAGTCATACATCATCATCAGTCACTGAAATGAGTTTTAGTTTGTACTATTTAAAATTATTTCTTAATTACATGTACCTTGTCAATCAAATCTCTCTTTTCCACATCATATATATCCAACACCGAGGTATATGCAGAACCCCTCTCCACATCTCCAGTTGCCAAGTAATAATAGTGATGATGGTGCCAGATGCGGAAATCCACCACACAGGTACACAAGACTGTGACTTATGATTGTCCCAAGCATCTTGGGAATTCCAGCTCCAAGGCATTGTTGATTATATTTGAAAAGAAGCCTATTTGCAGGCCCTTCAAACATACTGAAGTGCTCACCAGAAATGAACTGCTCTTTCAACTGAGTGAAAAACTCTCTCTTCACCCCTCCAGTGTCAACAGCAGGCTGCCCAGGAAATTGTATTCGTAAAGGTCTTGTAGGATCAAACGATGGGCTTTTGTAGTATGCAATAGCATCATTGAGAATGTCATCTTCATCTATTCTGAGTTTAAAGCGTGACCCGTGCATTTTTATAGCAAGTTTTTCCATTTTCTCATGAATGGAAGTTGATTTCAAGCACTCCTCATTCAACAATTCCTCAGCTTCTACAAAAGTAATAATATCAATTAAGTCAATTATTAATGTATATAATTAAACTAAACATGTAAATTATTTATCTTTTGTCTTTGAACTTTTTGACAAGTTTCAAGACATTTTGAAAATTACAACCTTTTGTTCAGTGGAATCAGCATGACCCCAATTTGATTCCCAGATCAGCGAAGGTGATTTATATGAACTGAGTTTGTTTGAAGTATTGTTCTCTCCTTTGCCACAAGGGTTTTTCTCTATGTACTTTCCAGTTTTCCTTCCTCAAACATGTGTGAAAAACAGTAAATGCAGGAGTAATGAGGGTGAGAGAAAGTCTCCCAGTAACTAAGGGCACAATGCCTGAATAAATAAACCTGATACTATTTTGTAACAATATACTATACTGTTTATAGTTATGAATATTAATGTAAGTACATGAGTGTCAAAAAAACAGCACTCAACCGTGCTGTTAAAATTTGGGGCAACTGATTGTGTGACTGCACTTTATCTTTGGAAACGGTGGACAGCACTTTTTTCACCTTCATCTGATTCACTCATTCTCACGCATGCTTGAATCTTCAACACCATGTCTACTGCTTCCTCTGTTGTCAGTGTGGATGAAACAACCCTAGCAATTACATCTTCTTTTAGATCTGGAAACATGACTGATAAATGGCGCCTCATGGTTTGGGAATCATCACATGGGTAGGAATTTTGTCCAGGAACATCATGGTCAGATTGGCCAATGGATGATGATGGAGCTGGAATGTCACGGTCATGTTGGGCGATGGATGATGATGATGGCCCAGAAAGGTCATGGTCAGGTTCGGTGATGTCAACCTTTGCAATCTTTGCACTTTTTGGCTAAAAGAAAATTAACAGACAATGACAATGCACGTTTGATTAACATATTTATTACATTGGAACTGTGTGGGAATAAGTGTAACCAAAACTAATATACATGTTTTGCATACAATTGTATTTTTTTTTTTAACAACTTTGGTCCACAGCAAAGTCAGTAATACATAATTACCCTTCTATCTTGTTTTTTTTCATTTTAGTTTTTGTTACTTGCATTAAACTGATGGGCAAACTAAATATTAAGGGTGTACTTAATAATAATACTTACTTGGGTCTGTAAAGAACCTTCATGATCTGCTAGATTATCCTCATTATCTGAATCCAAATGCGCTTGATCATTTTCATCTTCTTCATGTTCCTGCAAAGAAGAGAACGTACAGTCTTTGCACAAAAAGAATTTACAATTCAACTGGTAAAGTCCAAAGGATTGAAAAAATTGTTGCTCGAATTACTTGCAGATGAACTAGAGAATTTCTATCAAATCCTTTCATCTGACTTCATCTGAGCATACAGCAAGAAATACAGCTGCGAATCCTCTCTACTCCGTAGTATCAATGGACCTGTCTAAAGCATTTTACACCATTCCTCACAATCTTGTCATTGCCACTGGCAGCCTAATTTTTTTAAACTGTCAAAATTCCATTGCATTGTAGCAATCTACAGTGCTCTGCAGATTTCATTATTAAACTTCCTTGCAAGAAAATACAAAGAAATTGATAGAAATTTAAAAAGCATACAATTTTTCAAAAAATCAAAAAAATGTTATATGAGGCTCAATGACAAAGTTGAAACTGAAACAAAGTTGAAATTGGTAAATGTTAGTATGCATACCCATTACTAAAATTTTAACTTGCATAATACTAAACCTATGATCTTTTCTTAAATAATCTTTAATAAAGGGGAAAAAATGAAACTTACTTTTTGAGGAATATGTATGTCAGCAAGTGCCCTTACATAAATTGGGCCATTTCCCATTACATGTTTTAATACTTTTCCTCCCAGCTCTTGATTGGGTTGCAAGGTAATTGGTAGCAGTTCTGTTCCTATTGCTCTTACAAATTCAAAGCTGATAATGTAGAGGAAAATGCATTTGTTATCTTTAAATAATAACTATCACAATTAAGTTAGAGCATGCTCACATTTGACCACAAGGAGCCAAAGCAATTAGCTGAATGTACAAATATTATTTTAAAAATACCAGAAACTACACTTTTCCCAACAAGTGAATCAATTCACTCTTCAGGGGATTGAATAAGAATACTATATATATATATATATAAACATTTTGTTGATTTTATTGAATATCAAATATTTTATTAAATATATATATATATATATATCTACAGAGGGGAGATTTTTTGTAAAAATAGCCTGAGTATTAGGCCCTGTACTCAGGCTATTGTAAAGCCCATAATAAACTCTATAAATAATTAATATTTAATAAAATATTTGATATTCAATAAAATTAACAAAATGTTTAATATTTAATAAAATATATGCCATTTTGATATATTAATTCCATTTCTAAGAATTATTGATTTCAACATTCAGGTTATGTTTGCTTAAGGATTGAGCTCCTTGTGATTGGACCCCTCCTCTGGAAATTTGATTTTGGTACAATCTTTGTATACCTTGTGCAAAGAACAGATAAAAAAGTTATAGGTATTGAATGTAATACTTCCCAGGAAGGGAAATGGCTGCCAAGCGGCGATGGGAACTGAACAGATCTGTAAAACAATCCCAGGAGAAACCATCGACAGTCTTATGCGCATTTAGAAAACACGACAGAGTTGGAATAGTAATGATGATTTGGGATTTTCAGCATACACTAAGTCCTTCCAATGTACAAATATCTTGACAAGCTTACATCACATTTCAAAAACTTTTCAGTTGCGTTTAATTGACTTTTCGCTAAAAAATAATAACTTACTCATTTAGGAATAATTTGGATCGCATTATTTAGGTAATACTTACTCGATTTCTTCGCCATTCACAAATAGATAGTAGTGGAATAAACTAGAAACCCGGCTTCGAACTTCTGCCTCCGACCGGTTCTTATCTAGCTGCCAGGCGTCAACGTACATACCACTGGACACAAGTTTGGCCTTTGCCTTTCTCCGAGGGACTTCCGTCCACTCGAGAGAAGGCAATAGGCACACATCTTTGTAGATTAGATCCGCTTTCACAGCTGGCGATTTCCCTTTTCGAGAAGTAGTAAATTTTCCCTTGTTCGAACGTACGCTGTAGTTTTTTTTAGCATTGAAATTATTGAAAAAGCTTCCACGTTGCGTCGCCTGTCCTCGCGGAATTTGAAAGCTGTTGTTCAACTCATTCCCTACCGTAGATGCTGACGATCCTGACAAAGTTGCGCGTGGTGGAAGGCCTGCAGAGTTGGGCAGAGCACTTAAGTTTGCCACGACAGCCCTGACAATCTCTTGGATTGTCCTAGAGTCTCCGGGCCTAGAGTCACCCTTATTGTCCGCCATATTGACCAGTTTGAGTGAAGGGAAATCTTTTCGCGCCAAAATGCAGTTATGCAAACATCCCGTATGCACAGTGTAGCGAAACTCTTATCATTTCCGGTTCCTGTGTATGTTTACTTCCGCTTCCTTTCGAATTGAAATTTTGGTTTTTCGAATTCGAATATGTGGCATGACGTGAAGTTCAAATTGAAGGTTTCATTTGGAATTTTGTGGAAGATTATAGTTGCATTGTTGACGATTAAGTGGCTTATTAGAGTGGAGAAGGTGAATTGAAGTTCAAATCATGTAATTTGCATTTTAGTTGGAATGGTGATTTGAACTTCAACATCCGCGATGTCGAGTTTTCCCTGAAAAGTGTCAACTTGTTCAAAGTAACTTCAAGTTCGAATGATGGGTAAAGCTGACGCAAGTAACGCTAAAGTTTAAGTATACTGCTCTAAAGCTGCACCTATCAGATTAAAAACTTGAAGTTTAACATAAAATAAAAGAATTATTTTTGTCCGCAAATGTACGCCATACTATAGGGTGATCCTAGAGAGGATGCAACCATATCCATTCTTTTCATTGTTTTCAAACTAATTGTTCTCTTAGGCCTGTTTCAAACATCGCATTTCACGTGCCTAATTCAATATTAATATGAGCTTTCAGTCTATTAAATTCAAAAGTTCTGAATTGAATGAGACTTTCCGAAGCTGCGATTCAATCGCTGATTCAAGTTGGGTTCAAGTCTTGATCCTGATTTAAATTATGATAAATTAAGGTTCAAGGAAAGCTTTATATTAGGAGTGACAAGCCTTTATTTCAAATGCATTACTTTGGTTGTAAGAATCCTTATCTTTATAACAATGAAGTAAAAATAAGATAATTCCTCTGGTAAGAACAAATGTCGTCAGAGGAGTGGTATTCATTTCCAAGGAGTTATTGTTGGAATAATTCCTTTTATTTTATGTTCTCAATTAAGACTCTTCTTTCAGGGCTTAGTTATAACGCTAGTCACCTACATAACATTAATTATATGCCCTGTTTAAAATATCGATTTAATTAAAATCGGGAACATCTTAAACACTGTTCGATACCCAAGCAAACTTAGTTACCTAAAAGTGCATTGGATCCTCCCTGAGGCAAACATACATGTTTCCGTTTTTCTTACACAAACGCGTAACAGATGACAGTAATAGGTCCTGTTTCTAAGGTAAGCAAACCATTCAGGATTTCTTCATCCCTGATTTGATAACTATTTAGACCTGCTATAAAATCAACAGTATCGTAAAGTTTCAGTCCAAAGAAAATATATGTACTGCATAGCCAAATCTTCTGTAATGAGCCAAATACTGCATTTCCATCTCATTTCTCCTAAAAAGATTGTGTTGAGATCACATTTTTAGCACGTACCATGGGCTGTTATGGAAGTTGCTTTGTAGATTGGAATCTCTGACACTTCAACAAAGGTGGGATAGAATCTTGAAATGTTTCTCTATGTAGAAGTCTTTTCAGTGTCATCAATTAATCCGGTGTAGGTGGGTCCAGCCCCAACAGACATAAAGTCACTTCTAAGCAAAGGGTGTTCATCTCTGATCTCTATGGACTCCTGATTCATCTTCCCTAGACATTTTTATTTAACAGCTTGATCCTGTTCCTCATGTTCCCTCTTACATTTATGTCTTCTGTTGTTCTCTGGGCTCTTTCTTGTTGTTTCTTTTGTTGGTCTGAACGTTTTAACTTGCTGTGGCCCAAATGCAAGCTACAATCGGCGACAAAATTGATGAGACATTGTACTTAAATAGGGTAGTTTCGGAGAACAAAGGAATCCGCACCCCTCCCCTGTCCCCTCCATTCAAAGTTGGGGTGTTTGTTGTTTTCTATAGGCAGCTAGAACAAGGGCACAACATTGCACGGAGGGGATGGGGGAGGAAAGCTATATTTCCTCCTTTTGAAGTTAATAAAACGTAAAAAAGCCCAGTTTTGGGCGAAGTGTCTCAACTCATTTTGTCGCCGATTGTAGGCCGCCAGTCTGGATTGTATGTATCCCTGAGGGAAGCTGCATTTCCAGAATGAAAATGAATACCACAAACAAGGTCGTTCTAAATCTTGCTCTCCGTCAAGTCATCTCGTCTTTTAATGGCTGCTTAACCATCTAGTTCGCCATTGAGTCAACAAATTTCCATCTGCTTGCCGTGACGAGTAATTACGTTAGGCACTCTACAAAAGCGAAGGTCTGGAGGCCTCTTTTTATTGTTGGAACAACCAATGATAGAACAAAACGGAAGACATTGCTAGAAGACACGAGGAGTTGCATGACAGTTTTCACTCCTCCAACATGGTGGAACCAATTTTTCACCTACATCATGAGCATGTAACCGCACAGGCACTATATCTTGATCCCTCACTCGCTGACGTGATGATGTGTAAGGCCCACTTTTTGTGCATCTGGTTTTGTCAAAGTTTCATAGCCTGTAAATAAATTTCAGATCTTATCTTCCATTTTTTCGAGGAGTGGGCAGGATTTCTGCTGTAAATTTCCAGAACGCCTTCCAAACTAAATGAGGTGTTCCAAGTTGGTAAAATTCAGAGCGAATACTGAGAATCACCTCAAAACAGGCTGCTTTTCCCGTTTAATATAGAAACCTGTCTCGGAGAACAGTCTTTTTTACGTTGAAGGTTTTAAAGTTCGGCTGGAAATGAGTGTAAAATTGGCTGGAAGTGAAACCTAGAGCTTTCACGGAAATTCATTTTTGCAATTGACTTCCAAAGAGGATTTTTGCAGTTTCCTCTTAATCTTAACCTGGTGTTAAAACTCACAAGGAACGGCTGCCTGTTTGCAAGGAATCGTAAAATTCTTCCAAGCAATTTCCTATTCTTTATTTCAACTTTATTTGGTTCCCCAAAGAATACAGGAGAGGATTCAGAATTTCTGATCCCGGAAACAAAAAAGTAGAGGAGTCAGAATTTCTGATCCTCCAAACAACACAGGACAGGATTCAGAATTTCTGATCCCCCAAACAAGACAGGAGGGGATTCAGAATTTCTGATCACCCAAACAACACAGGAGAGGATTCAGAATTTCTGACCCCCAAACAACAAAGGAGAGAAATCAGAATTTCTGATCCCCCAAACAATAAAGGAAGGATTCAGAATTTCTGATCCACCAAACAACACAGGAGAGGATTCAGAATTTCTGATCCCTCAAACAACACAGGAGAGGGGTCAGAATTTCTGACCCCCCAAACAATGAAGGAAGGATTCAAAATTTCTGATCCCTCAACACAACACAGGAGAGGAGTCAGAATTTCTGACCCCCCAAACAATAAAGGAAGGATTCAGAATTTCTGATCACCCAAACAACACAGGAGAGGATTCAGAATTTCTGATCCCGGAAACAAAAAAGTAGAGGAGTCAGAATTTCTGATCCTCCAAACAACACAGGACAGGATTCAGAATTTCTGATCCCCCAAACAAGACAGGAGGGGATTCAGAATTTCTGATCACCCAAACAACACAGGAGAGGATTCAGAATTTCTGACCCCCAAACAACAAAGGAGAGAAATCAGAATTTCTGACCCCCCAAACAATAAAGGAAGGATTCAGAATTTCTGATCCACCAAACAACACAGGAGAGGATTCAGAATTTCTGATCCCCCAAACAACACAGGAGAGGGGTCAGAATTTCTGACCCCCCAAACAATAAAGGAAGGATTCAAAATTTCTGATCCCTCAACACAACACAGGAGAGGAGTCAGAATTTCTGACCCCCCAAACAATAAAGGAAGGATTCAGAATTTCTGATCACCCAAACAACACAGGAGAGGATTCAGAATTTCTGACCCCCCAAACAACACAGGAGAGGAGTCAGAATTTCTGACCCCCCAAACAATAAAGGAAGGATTCAGAATTTCTGATCACCCAAACAACACAGGAGAGGATTCAGAATTTCTGACCCCCCAAACAACACAGGAGAGGAGTCAGAATTTCTGACCCCCCAAACAATAAAGGAAGGATTCAGAATTTCTGATCACCCAAACAACACAGGAGAGGATTCAGAATTTCTGATCCCCCAAAAAACAAAGGAGAGGAGTCAGAATTTCTGACCCCCCAAACAATAAATGACCAAACAACCCAGGAGAGGATTTAGAATTTCTGACCCCCCAAACAACAAAGGAGAGGAATCAGAATTTCTGACCCCCCAAACAATAAAGGAAGGATTCAGAATTTCTGACCCCCCAAACAATAAAGGAAGGATTCAAAATTTCTGATCCCTCAACACAACACAGGAGAGGAGTCAGAATTTCTGACCCCCCAAACAACAAAGGAGAGGAATCAGAATTTCTGACCCCCCAAACAATAAAGGAAGGATTCAGAATTTCTGATCCACCAAACAACCGAGGAGAGGATTCAGAATTTCTGATCCCCCAAACAACACAAGAGAGGATTCAGAATTTCTAATCCCCCAAACAACACAGGAGAGGAGTCAGAATTTCTGATCACCCAAACAACACAGGAGAGGATTCAGAATTTCTGATCCCCCAAACAACACAGGAGAGGAGTCAGAATTTCTGACCCCCCAAACAGTAAAGGAAGGATTCAGAATTTCTGATCCCCCAAACAACACAGGAGAGGAGTCAGAATTTCGGACCCCCCAAACAATAAAGGAAGGATTCAGAATTTCTGATCCCCCACACAACACAGGAGAGGATTCAGAATTTCTGACTCCCCAAACAACACAGGAGAGGCGTCAGACTTTCTGACCCCCCAAACAATAAAGGAAGGATCCAGAATTTCTGATCCCCCAAACAACACAGGAGAGGAGTCAGAATTTCTGACCCCCCAGACAATAAAGGAAGGATCCAGAATTTCTGATCCCTCAAACAACAAAGGAGAGGAGTCAGAATTTCTGACCCCCCAAACAATAAAGGAAGGATCTAGAATTTCTGACCCCCAAACAACACAAGAGAGGAGTCAGAATTCTGACAGGAGAAGAGTCAGAATTTCTGGTCCCCCAAACAACACAGTAGAGGAATTCAGAATTTCTGACCCCCCAAACAACAAAGGAGAGGAGTCAGAATTTCTGACCCCCCAAACAATAAAGGAAGGATTCAAAATTTTTGATCCCTCAAACAACACAGGAGAGGAGTCAGAATTTCCGATTTCCCATCAACACAGGAGATTGATGAACCCCCAAGAATACAGGCATGGAAGCAGAATTTCTGATAACCCAAACAGCCTCAGAGAAACTCAGAAAAAATTTGTCTCTGGTCCCAAAGCAGTGAAATGTCTCAAAATCCGAGGTTGAAGTTAACTCATGATTCTGAAGAAGTGCAAGGAAATGATTGTTCCACGATACAGGCTGTATAAACTTTATTCAATCGCCAGTGTTACATCCAGTACAGGCACATTTAATTGTACCACTGAAGACAGGTTTTAGTTCTTGCTGCCTGCCTCAGAGCAATGTCCGATCAAAATATCAATTTGAAATAATTTACAATATCATAATTTTCTTAACAGATTCCATACACTCAGATTATCTTGAAATGATAAAGAACTAGCTTTTCCGCAGCAGTCTATTACTGTATAATATGCAATTGTAAACAATTAACAGTCAAGTACTGCACTGATATATGTGTTACAATTCAAATTTGATTTCACGTTAATTTTGATATTTAATCTATGTTGATTCTCAATTCCCTTTGTTTCCTAACCCTTATTCATGAGTAATTAAAGAAATGTACCCTGAAATCAAATTCAACCTGTAACATATGCACTGACTTCAACAATAAAATAGCTATAAATTTCATGAACACTCTACCGAAGAGGTCAAGAAAGTTCAGAATTGCCAAAAATGGCAAGATTACTCAAACTTTACAACTGACCTTAGTATCACCGCAGAATCTACTTCCTAACTCTGTCAGAGTTAGTATATATACATACACTTTATTTAGCGCCAACAAGACAAGCGCCGCTATTCCAATAAGCGCCGCATTGCTAATTTGGGTATTTACCAATAAACGCCCCTTCTTTTTTATGGCACTTGATATAAAGAGATATCAAAACCTTATCACTTAAAAAATAATAAGACCTTGACCAACTGGTGAGTTCTAAAGTTTTACTCTAGCAAGACTCTGGAAACCGGGTTAATAAAACAGTCTGAGTTGTACATATTCTAGACTAAATTGAGCATACCTTATGGCCACTCCCAGTCAGTAGGTAACTCCAAACGTTTGTCAACATCCTGGAGCCACTGAGTCCGTGTTCTTGAGATTCCCACAGGATAATGCTCCTCAAATTTTTTGAGGTCTCTCTTCAAAGCCTCCACATCAATTTTGTTCAGTGTGGGCCGCACAAGGTTGGGTCTTTCGGTTGGTATGGACTTGATGAAAATACAAATATGAAAAATGTCATAAACTGCACTTCTTGGACATCAAGAGATTTTTAAAAGATTTTTTCCAACATGGTCAAATTTCTGTTTCCCCGAAGGCAGAAAACAGTTGATGCAATGAAATATTCCGCTGGTTTTTCAATGTCATTTTTCTTTGTGCAGGTTGATTAATACTCCATGCTTTGTATCAGCCTTTAAGATATGGTTGACTGCACCAGCTACATGTAACCTTTAATTCAATTTACCGATACTGTTGTGTGGTTTAAGGAAAATTTTATTTATGTGGAAGTTTGCTTAATTCAAATTTATTTGCAGATATTACTTTAGACATTGATTTCAATTGAAAAACAATGTATCAGTCACGTACCTTCGGCAGTCGTTGAGGGCCTTCCCATTTCATATGTGAGTAATTTTTGTATTACATTATGCAATGTCCCTCCTCATCTCTGACAAATTTAAAACTCTTTGGCTGGGTGTGAGCATGTAATTCCTCAGCGTGAGGTGAAAGGCATTCTTTAATGTTGTAGAAAACATCAAGTAAAAACGGAAATGCCTTGATTATTTCCAAGCAACCTTCCATGGCTTCTAACAAGTCTAAAGATGGAGATGTTTAAAATTGAACAATATTAAAAGCTGCATTATTAATGTTTCCATACATTCAATTATATACTGGATAAAAATTATTTTAACATAGAAACGGTATAATAATATTATAATAACTTGCAGTAGTGTGGAAGAGGGGATGCCAAGATTGATACTATGTGTACTGCACTATTAATTTGAAAGGATCTGCTACGCCTGCAACACTGCTTGTATTAATGAAATGTTAATATCATGCAGAAAAATTTGGCTATGTAAAAAATCTCTCTCTTAACAGGAGTACAAATTTATTATTACTTCCTCAAGGCAGATGAATAATTTATTATTATAGACAAGACAAGACAATGCTTTATTTGGAGTCTTATACAGTCCTATGTACATCGACTTTATCCAAATAATTTAAAGTCTTAACACAAATTGCACAAGTATTATAAGTACATATAGCCTTTTATGTCTTTGTATGCTTTTAGCCAGACTTTGAAAACTGGCCGTCCAGGAGGCATGTTTTGCCATAAAATTATAAAAGATTAACTGATTTTCCCTTGTATTTCTTCTAAAAATGGGCATCCATCATGGCCATGGGACGGCTGCACACCCTTCTGGCTAAAACCTTGTGTCTTTCTTAGATTGCATATAATTTAATTTCCTGAATAGCAACAGGTTATCCAGCCTACATCCTGCTGTGGAGGATGGGTATCCCTTGCTCAGTGTAAAGGCAAATAATATATAGATTTAGCCAGGGCTAAAAGCGAAGCTCCCATTAATAAATTTATAGTTTAAATCAAACTATAAACTTGTAATCCACAAATCAGTTAACTTAAGGGCAAATTCATGTGACTTTTAAGGGAAGGGCTAAGTGATTTTAGAGTGAAACATCTAACATCGAGATGATAGCCTTATATGTACACCCAAAAATAGCAATCATCTTCGATCGCGTTCAAGAGCCATAATAGCTCTTGATCACAGTAGATTAGGCCTTGAAAACAAATTCTTGGAAAACAAATCAGGCAGAATTTTTTTTGCTTTCGACAAGTTCACAAACTTCACTTCAAACTCTTGCCAATGAATCTGGGGGTGTGTAAACCAACCTTTTATACTTTTTATACATCACATCTGAGGTGAAACAGTACTATTTATCATACAGACCTCGGACAGAATGCAGTATTTCACAATTTTTCAAGACAAATAGCACTCAGGACGATCAATCCATCGCTTTTGGCAAAACTGTTCAAAATTATTTCCAAAATCAATATTAAGATAGCCAGCCGGTTTTCACTTTTGACGAGCACCAAATTTGCACTGAACATTACTAGAGTCACACTTCAACATAATAAAGAATTTATTAAGTTTATTTTTAGGATTTTATAACGATGTGTAATCTTAAAAAGCGTTTGATACCCGCGGCATTTTGAGTTAACTCCTGCAAGCGATGTTCATTAACGACTGAAAACAAACGACAAAGCGATTAAAATTGCAAGAGAGACTACTAATAATCAATGAAAGAAATATAATTCGGTGAAGCGTTTACGGAGATAACAATTTTCATTAACGAAGACAAGTATTAAAGTGTTTCTAAAAATCCTGAGTCTTAAAGCTTAAAGCTTAATAAGTTTATGTTTTAAGCCGGCCTCCCGGTGTTTGCTTTTCTCAAAGATGAACTCGAGGCAAGAAAATCGCTCAAAGTTTGCTTTCTACTGCCAAATTTATAACCAAATATTCTTCGGAACGTTTTCTTTCTATTTACGATGAGAAAATATATCTAAAGGCTTATTAAACTTCTGTAAGGTTATATCAAACCTGATGCTAGGTCAGATCATTGTCTCAAATCTTACAAACGTGCATAACTTTGCCGCATAAACTGTGTTCGACTACATGAAATTAGATGTAAAAAAAAAAACAAACATCAAATACAATAATTACTCAGGCTTACCATTCGAGATGTAGCTCCTGAAAGCTATCAAGTAACGCGAGAATCGCTTGAGAATTTTGAACCCTCTTTAACACTCATCAAGCAAGGTGAAAAACGAAAACGATGCCATCCGAAATCGGATTTCCGTTTTTAACAAGTGATGTATTAATTTCTCAACGAAAAACCAACTAACCATGAATATCAGAAGACTCCTGATAGCAGCTGAATTTCACTTTATGCATCCAGTGGAAAAAGACAATTAAAAACATCACAAGTTGACACAAAACTCTGCCAGCTTCAGCCGTCAACGTAAACAAGTTTCAAGATGCTGCATGAATTTTTCGCATGAGCTCACCTGTCAAATTTTGACCAATCAGAGCATAAAAATTGGACGTAGAGCGTGACCAACTCGTGACCTGGGTAAAAAAAGGTCATCGCCTATATTTTTACATAACTGGCTGAATTTTCGCGTCCATGGTTAGTTTGAAATCAAAATCTTAATAGTGCGTGACCATCGTGACAAACTCAACATATTTCATATAAATCTTTAAAAAATAAACTTGAGCCTGCGATCATTTGAAAACCAGTAACTTGTCAGCAGATGACTTCAAAAACGTACTCGACCTCGATGGGTCGACACCTGAGCCTGCAATATGGTCAGGTGATACTGGTCAGCGGATACCTTGTTTTGACAGCTGTCAATTGATCACAACATTCATGTTCAATCAGTTTCCTCCTCAAAACTAGCTAGAAAGTAGAAAGTGTGAGTAAACATTGGTCGCCCTGTGGTGCGGACGGACGGTCGGCGGTCGGTCGGTGTACGGTCACGTGATTACCAAATTTTCTGGGATGGGTAGATTTACTAAGCTGTGGAGCTCCGCTATCACATACTGTATTAATTTCCCATTTGATGGACAATTTTAGTAACTTTACTAAGTCATCTAGAGTTGAAAGGTTTAATCACTTAAGTTTTTATAACTTGATGCCTTACCTTGTGGTAAAGGAAAAGGAAATCAGCCTCAAAGAGCTGAAACAGGAGGCCAACAATGCTTGGCAGCAGTCTTTTCATCCAGTTATACTGGTGTAGGTGGTTCCAGCCCCAACAGATATAAAGTCACTTCTAAGCAGAGGGTGTTCATCTCTGATCTCTGTGGACTCCTGATTCATCTTCCCTGGACATTTTTTATTTAACAGCTTGATCCTGTTCCTCATGTTCCCTCTCGCATTTACGTCTTCTTTTATTCTCTGGGCTCTTTCTTGTTGTTTCTTTTGTTGGTCTGAATGTTTTAACTTACTGTGGCCCAAATGCAAGCTAGGCAGCCAGTCCGAATTGAATTTATCCCAGAGGGAAGCTGCATTTCCAGAGTGAAAATCAATTCCACAAACAAGGTCGTTCTCAAGCTTGCTCTCCATCGAGTCATGATGGCTTTTAACGGCTTCTAATCATCTAGTTCGCCATTCAGTCAACAAATTTCCGTCTGCTCGCTTTGACTATTAATTACTTTAGGCACTCTACAAAAACTAAGGTCTGGACGTCTCCTTTTATAGTTGGAACAACCAATGATCAGACAAGACGAAAGGCATTGCTAAAAGACGAGAGGAGTTGCATGAACGTTTTCACTCCTCCAATATGACAGAACCAATTTTTCACCTGTCATAAACATGTGACAGCACAGGCACTATATTTCGATCCGTCACTCGCCGATGTAATGATGTGTAAGGCCCACCTTTTGTGCATCTGGTTTTGTCAAAGTTCCCATAGCCTGTAAATAAATTTAAGATCTTATCTTCCATTTTTCCCAGAAGTGGGCAGGATTTCCGCTGTAAATTTCCACGTTCTACGACGTAAGTTCTTGGGAGGCTGTTATCTTGCTACGTCAACTCGTGATATGCTTTCCATGACACCGAGAACTTGTCCATTATGGAAAGTACCGCACTAATTTTTTCCTTCCCTGACGAAGACACCTTCTCATAGGCCTGCTCTTGTCTGTGGTAAATTAAATGCAACAACATATAACCAGTCTTGTTCCAGATAGTAAGATAGATATGTTAGACAAGAATATAGACAAAAATTTATCTTAAATTTTATCCTAATTTCAACTCCAAATTACCAAAAGGTAATTCTTTTTAAAACATGTTCATGTCTTTAGATTTAGGTACATGCAATCTACCTCACCTTTAAAACTTTCCTGGTTTCTTGTTTGCTGGGCGTTTTCTTCATGTGTAACTATATTTCTTTTTCAGGGTTACCTACCAAGAAAATGGAAAAGGGACAATCATTTCTATGAAAAAGATGTGTATTGCATACCTGAAGTTGTTTAATGTTTAAAATCTAGTTTACTTGTTTGTTCTTTTGCGACTTTCACTTCATGGACCAATCCAGTGTTGTCTCTTAACAACAGAGATTCTGGCAGTAAACCATACGTTTCTGCAAACCACAGTGCATCTTGACCTTTTTGCCTGTTAAAGATACAAACAAGGCAATCAACAAGTTAAAAATTTAATTGAATCTACGTGCAAGTTCCCGTGTTTGCAAAATGTTCAGTGCTATTATAATAAATACAGAGGAAATTATTAACTATATTTGTGTTAAATGTCTCCGTTGCTGCCTGTCTCCCACTTGAGTAAAAATTTTACCCCTGTGGGAAAGCTGTTCTTACATGTTCCAGTATAAACTAGCAGCCTTCTCTTCGATCGTCTTGCAAAAGTCTTCTTTTTCTTCCGTCTGTGGATTTATTGATTTTTTAAATGTCTATTTTACATATAAATGAAAAGGAAAAAACGTTAGATTACACGAAATATACACATTTCGAAACTGAAAAGAATCCCAAAAGGGGAGGAAGTCTCAAGAAGCCATGAAGGATTATAGGTGAGACTTCCTCTTTACATTAGATTCAGTTATTATTGTAGTTATTAGTTAAATATATACTTATATAAATAAAGAACAGCATATAATAAAATAATTTACAAGTGTATAGAAATTATTAAGAAAAAGTTAATTGTCTAATAATAAGTGATAAATTACAAAGGATTGATGGAGTATATTATAACAGCTTTTTGTAATGACATGGTCACTGAAAGCTACCCATGCAAGACATAAGGAACTTAAAAGAAACTAAACATTCCCTAGTCTTTTGAAACCAGACATTGCAAGTATATATATCTTACAGATACAACATAAAACATTTATATAACATACAAGTTCAAACTGAGTATATTGCAAACAAGAAAATTATACAGAATTTCGACAAATGAAATACAAATGGCCTGTAACAGCTATTAAACCATTGAAAACCAAACTTTTTATTGTGACCAGCAACCCTAGCACACTTGTGTACTTCATGTCCAGTATGATTCAATTTCATTGTTGCTTAAATTTATTAACTGCAGCCAGGGTTAATCAAACTTGATTCAAAAAATACGTTCCTGTTTCCTTGTAACTACAATATATAATATTAAGAGAGAGGATATAATGCCAGAAATATTACGCAGTAGTACAATCAAAAGATAAGGCACCTCCAGGAAATCGAGTTGGTCCCTACTATTCTTTAGTCATTTTCTTTTACTCTTTATAAGTTACACCTGTCCATTAATACAGACATTTTGTCAGCCCGGGATAGTTATCAAATTTGATAACCCAGACCAAAACAAACCAATAGCCAATCGCTGCACAGATTCAAGTTCACGTGACACGCTATCGAGGAAACAATTTTTAATTCAATATGGCGTCCTGAGGCCTAACCAGTCTTTGTCAGTGTCTTGCTTTCTTGGTGGACGGCAAAGCTTCCAGGCTTCAGCGCTTGTACATGTCTCTAATGCGGGTCCAACAATCTGTTAAAAAGTAATATTTGACAGAGTTTATTTCCTGAAGTGTTGCTACCTTACTTGTAAATCGTTCTTAGCTAAAAAACAACTCTGGTCCCTGAGGGGAAATTATTGGGAGGCTGAATAACAATTATGTAAGCTACATATAGGAAGTTGAACAAAAAACAGACTACCACGCACTCAACGTACCTCCACGACCATATCTGCTCCTTCCTCTCCCATTTCTGAAACAACTAGCGACAGCCTTCTCTCCACTACTCCAATATACTCTTCATTACATTCGATTTTCCAAGTACAGGGAATAAAGGCTCCACCGCTGTGCCTGACATTTTTTTCCCACTTTTGATGTACCGGTGTCCTCTTTGTTGTTGTTGCCTTTACCCTCGCACGTAATTTCAGATTGGAAATATAACCATATGTTCTTCATGATATGAACGCTGTGCTAATTATTACAATTCAAGTTGCTGCATTGGTAATCATGGCATTTCCGGTACTCTTATGCTGCAGTTACATACCCTTCAATTTTGTTGATTTTGCCGCAATCCAGCAAATGTTTGATTTCTCTGTTAAGAAAGTATTGAACACGGCCAATCTGCCTTCCTGCAACTTCTCTTAAAGTATATGTCTTCTTGGTGCTAGTGGATACCATTATTACATCTTGGAGTGTCGATGGCATATCAGCTACTTCTGGTAAAACGCATCCTAGCGCAAATGGATCTTCGTTCCCACTTTCAGGGTAAACATTCACTGGAGTGCCTTCTGGTCCCTTTACGTTAAATTTGTGGTAGCTATGGAATATAAAACACAACGAGGCGAGCTGAGGAGAAAGCTTTATAAACGCTTATCTAGTGTTGTGGAAGCGCACATGGTTATGATGGTTCGTCACCATGAATCTGGGCATTCATCAAACACAACCCGTAAAATAGAATAGACATGAAATAACAAGGGATTGTGCCACTTACCCCTTAATTTTTCCACCTGTGATTCTAAGAACTGATCGGTGTGTACTTGTCATTTCTAAGAAGAAGTATCGACCATTTGTCAGTAAAAGCAACGCCGGCGGTACAACAATAAGTTCGATATTGGTACGGTATTCAAAAAGAACTATAGTTGCATAAATTACATCAGAAAAGTGACCTTTACCTCTTTTACTCATTCTGAATGCTCTCACGAAATCGCTTTCCAATGAACATGGCAGGAATGTTTCACAGAAGGAAGCTTCGCGGGAAATTGATGATGAACATGCTTTGTTTAGCACAATAGAAACTGCCATTTCTGTCGTTATTAGCCAGTCACATACGCCATACAGGGTCACCAGCTGCGCGGGGGGCGCCAAAAAAATACAGTAAAGACAAAGGATCAAAGCCTCTTTGTACATTGTCCGAAGTTCGAAATAAATGGAGGAACCTCAAAGCGCGTACGAGAAAGGTACAAGGTAATTAACTGCACCTTTCTGAGAGGTACTTTCAGCTTCAATAGGAAGTGATCGTCTTAAGCTTGTTTGTCACTCTCCTTTCAGTGATTGTGTTCCAAACAAAAACAAAAGAAACATCAGGGGAAAGGAAAAGATTTGCTATGTGGACAATCCAGATCAATGGAAGGTGACATTATCTCGCCGCAAGACAACATTATTTAAGAACGCTTTCAAGCATCACGTAATGACCAAAGCAGAAGTGTTCTTAATCATCCAACTGTCTTAGCAACACCGGATTGTGTGGGGATCGCCAAGCCTCAAGACAGATTATGAAAGCGGAAAATTGAAACCTATCGTTGGTCAGCAATTCCTTAGTCCTGAGGAAATAGACGGAATGGGGAACCAGCAGTTGAGGCTATGACCGAGACTCCAGAGCGCAGAAATAATATGTCTCCTTCTCTTGCAAACATGCTTGGTCATACTCCAACTAATCATCATCAAATTACACCAACAGAAGATACAAGTATTACAGAGCTACAAAATGTCCCAGCCCCAGTGCGCGAGATTTTGCTCAGGAGACCACGAGCAAGACTTCATTTTGATGAAAGACCAACAATTATCACAGAGCAAACTGAAATAACCTTTATTTCAGATCAAAACGTGGCACTCAACGTCCATGAATAGATATCACGGTGGTCTAAAATACTAGGCACTCAAATGTTTAATGTTCTGTTACCGTTTCATGTACATTGGTCGTGTTGTACGCCTTTCAATCCGACTGCAGTAACAAATTGCAAAACAGCTAACATGAATTACTTACATAGATTAATCAGTTGCTTTACACACATTAAAGACTATCAATTATTAGAGGAAATGTTTGGAGATCAGTGAGGAGAATTTGTTTGATAACACAAGAGATTAAAAACAATAGAACCTTCAATGAAAATAGCACTAAACATTATTTCTCCAGGCTGAAAATTACAAATAAAAAATACTATATTCAATGTTTTTAGCGCCTAATTCAGGGAATGTGAATAACAGAAAACAGCTATTTCAATTAAGGCCAAACAGTCAATACGATACATTACTTTTAAATTGACCAATAAAGTCCAAGTGTGGAAACACTGAAAATGGTTACAAATTATTTCTTGTTTATGGTTAAATGGCCTTTATTTAAAACTGTACCTGTCAGTAGCCCCACATTCTTTTTGCTTGCCATGCATCTTCTCCCCAATCAGGAAGATGGATTGCAAGCTCCGCCGGTAGGCAAAAGAATACACCGACTTCGTTATATACATTATTTACACTAGGCCTTTATTAATTTGGTGCCTAACTTGCATTTAATCGAGAATGTATAGTTACTGTTATTGAAGTGCACAGTAACCATATTACTCACAGAAACTTTACCACTACATGCTCAATTAAATGTATCATTATCTTGATCTACCACAAATAAAATTTCCTGTTCATTGTCCACAACCTGATTGAGTTCTTCACACACTTCATAGAAGAAAGAGAGGAGGACTTCTTTTTTTAAAGAGGACTGTTTCCTCTTAAGTTCATTCATCTTATTTTGAAGCACATCCTTGATGTCTTCATCCGAAACAAGATTAATTTTCTCCTCTGCTCTCTCGAGAATCTCTGATTTAGTAGCATTATTTATGTCCTCCCCCTGAATTCGGTCTTCTTCAGTTGTATACACAGTTGTTACTCGAACATCAGTTCTTGGCTTTCCTTGCACAAAGTGTTTGAGTAACAACTTTCTTCTGTTTTCCTTCAGAGTGTCATCCATCTCCAGAAGGTGTTTGTCCAGACTGCAGCATGAAGCAACTAGGAGTATTTCTACTCCCCCCCTGGATGGGATGCTGGTCCATCACAGGTTATCCCCCAACATTACTGTCACTGGTACCCCCATTTATACCCCGGGGAGGAGAGAGACACAGAGAGTAATGTGTCTTGCCTAAGAACACAACACGGATACAGGGGTTTTAATAATAGCCGGGTAGCAGGTAGAACTACCCGCCTGTGACGACCTGAATACCCACCTGAAAACAGTTCGATTGGTTTAAATTAAAATACAGCTCAGTACAGGAATTCATGCTAATATGTCCTAAAATTTATTGAAAATGGATCCCTGTTTAATAAAGCAGGGAGCCTCTAATATCGCCCCAGAATGCAGGAAAATGCATCTCCGAGTAATGAATTTCAAAAGTTTCCAGTGGAGCATGCCCCCAGACCTCCCCTACTTGGGAGGGCCTTCGGCCCCTCCAATTAAAATATCAATCTACCTGCTTGCTATGTTTCATCTACCCATCTGAAATAAATGTTATTGAAACCCCTGACTGATAAATACCAAAGATAGTCTGTTGTGGCTGTAATGTCTCAGTTTAGTCATTTTCAAATCTTGAGAAAAGTATTATATGCCATCAACACTGTAGTCCATCCATAATGTAGCTGCATGGATGCAAGCTACTATAACTTGTTACTGACATAAATGTAGGTGAAATCAGCTTACCTCTCTCTTCGAAGTTTGATTCTCCATGCAAGAACTTCTTCCTTGAAGTCATACCTCTTTCTTGACACACCAGCATCTTGCTTTGGATCATTCATTCCAATCAAGCATAACAGCCACTCTCGTACCTACAGAAGGAGAATTAGTTAATTACTTATTGTAACTAAATTTCCACAACAAGTAATGACAGTTACATACTGCTTGTGGCAGAAGCTAATATTTTACAGCTCCATTTCAGAGTTCATTACAGAGTTGTACATATAATATGTTGTGGTTCAAATTTTTCTTTGGTTTGAAGTTTCATCTTCGTTTCCCTTTGTCTGAGATTATTATAATGAATTTCAGACTAAGAAAAATAAAAATGAAATTGGTCTAGAAAGAAATTTCAAACCAAAGAAAAAAACATGTATTAATATTTTATAATTAGCAAAGGTTTGCTTGTTTCATACACAACCAAATTATTACTCTGTTGAGACAATGCATCATGTTAGATTTAGATTGAAATTAAATCGATCACATAAATTATGCATTCATCTTAAGAGGTAATAGTATATCTATGACAATGCTTACTTTGGTTAACTTGCCAAGATTCCTAAATATTCTCAGCCAGTCAATTGCTGTCATAACACCATGCTGCCAGACTTTTGAATCTTTGTTAACCTCCTCGAGGTTTGCATCCATACACTCTCCTTTGCTAGGATTTCCAGACGTGCTTATTGATTCAGTCCTCGAGACAAATTCAGCAAGCTCTGGGGGAAATGAAGCTTTATCCACGCTAAGAATAAAAGAAAATAATAGCACACTAATTGGAACTGCCACAATCTCAAGAAGGGTCTTAAATATTTCGAGATTACATGTTAGTTTTATTCAAGGAATTATAGAAAAAACTGCCAATATTTCCATGGAAAACTTATAGAGAAGTTATAAATGATTGCAATAATAATTTTATTATCTAGTTAAGAAGGGAAGTTACTAAGTTTTTTCAACTAACCCAAGCCTAACGTGGTGCAAATACACCGAATGCAAATATGGCGGACCTCTTGGCCGGCCCGGGTCTAGTTGCGCGAAAGCGAGGCTGGTGAGGCCTCAAGAGTTTTGTTTTGACTGCGCGTCTTAGCGATTGAGTCGATCGATATGGTTTGCTTTGAGTTGTTGCATGCCTGAGGGCCACCAAAAAGAAGATTTTACTCTAGGTGGAATAGCCCTTACTTTCCCGAGATCTTTTCACAAAGAAAATTAAAAATTCATGCAATTCGGCGCGGCGATGGGAAGCACTTTACAGCGAAAGTGTGCTCGCTTCACTCGCTTTAGATCCTGTTTAGATGAGAGGACTCACGAAAGTATTTGAATGAAATAATTTTCACAAGAGATATTGCTGTTCCAAGATGTTTGCATGGTCTGTTATTTATTCAACAAAAGGTGAACATTCTCGAAAACGGGAGCATCCGCTGTGGACTGTAAGATCTTTTAGATTTCATGCTGAAAACAGCTGCATTAAAATATAACAATAACAATCGCCTGTTAATCCTACAAGCGTGGCCTGTGAAACTATGTAAGAACCAGAAGAAAGTGACATATTTCAAGATTAGTCCTTGACCAAGGTGCACTGAAAAAACTAACTAAGGAACCGTTGCCAACTAAGAAAGTAAGAAGAAGGAAAAAGGTTCTGGTAGAGAAAGAGCGTGCAAGTATTCGAGCATTGTATTTGACC